TATTTTGCATTTGGCTGCAAAGTTGCCACCAATAGATACACTCGATATTGAATCACCTACATTACATTATAAAATGGAAAGGGAGATGTGGTGGTTCGAGGTGAATATTAATTTACTCCCCTCTTTGGTTTGAAAAAATAATATTTATTTTCCTTGATTGATAGATGTTTCGTAAGTATTGCAGGGAATGAAGAGAATTTTACATCTAGTGGTAGCTAAAGCTAAAAATAATGAAGGGAAAACTCCTAGAGCTTTATTTACTGAACAGCACAAAGAGTTATGGGAAAAAGCTGATAAATGGGCCAATGACATTGCAAATGCCTGCATCATAGTCACCTTGGTTTTCGCAACACTTCTCACTGTACCAGGTGGCACCAAGGAAAATATAAGGACTCTAATTTTTTTGCGAAGAGCTTCCTTCATAGTTTTTGCAATATCAGATATTGTTATGAAACTACCAAGAAACAAATCACAACCAACCACACAGAATCAAGAAAGCACACACACAAACAACAACAGTTTTACCGTGGTTCACTACCCTATTGTGAGCAAGCTACATCCACGTTGAACTTTAGAACAGGGGAGTTCGTCGCACTACGATTAATAGAATTAATCACTTACAGTCCTAGATTCAAATACACCCAGAAACCCCAACTCACACACCTCTGATTCAACCTGCAAATTGACCCTAGGAATACTCTAACCCTAGAATCCCTAGAACAAGAACACAGTCGCTCTTTCCTCAAATGATTACACCATAACCACTCAAGAATACACAGATTGCACAAGGAATCAGAACCAGAAAAACAAGAACCCTAATTGTACAAAGAATACAGAACAGTTCGATGTGAGAAACCCTTAGTCTTTGCGAATGAAGACTTTCTCTTTTATATTGTTGACTTGTGGCGAATTCTCATCCGTTGGATTGTTGTTGGATCAATGGTCAGGATTCATCTTTAAGCTGTCCAAAACGACACCGTTCCACTAATATCCAGTACAACGTCGTTTCAAGTATTCACTTCAACATATACTATAGCATTACTATTGTCATCTTTCTCCATAACGATGTTCTTATCAGTTAACTCTTCCTGATGTGAAGAAGCATATTTCTTTTGATGGATAACTGGTGATTTGGGTCTTGGCATAAACTTACTTCTATACTCCGTAGAAGCAATGATGGTAGTGTTTTCTGCAACTATGTTCATTGTCTTCAAAGATGGGTGGCTATGGGTGCTTGTTCTTTTAACGGTAATGGCTGTTTTCACAACGTTAATGTATGTGGGTAAAACTTGGACTGTCACTGGAGAAGTGCTCCATTCCGTCAATGAAAACAGGTGACATTATTTACTTATTTTACATAATGTAATATATTCTATCTTATTAGAAGCATGTCTTACTAACTAGATTGATTATTGATCTTATGATGAATGGTAATACCGTGTTACCTTTATCTGGCTTTCCTTAAAATAATAATAAAAGAATATTATGATTGAATTTTTAATTCTATAACTAAAAATGGCAGTTATATTGATATTTCAGTGAATATGTTGAGGACGGTGTGCTAGCTACATTCAAACTTCATTCCGGAAGAGGCACAGGTTTTGTAGTTAAAGGAATGACTGGAACATCAGACTGAAAAAGTTGTTTTTTGAATGAGACTACATTTACAAATTTTAAATACAAACTTTCTCATACAGGTTCAAAGTTATTAAGCTACTGTTGGTAAAAGAAACAGACGTTAACGTCTAAGTTGTAATTCAGAGCTTTAGTTTTCTAACTCTATTATTAGAAGCGTTAGTTCAAATCTTTCCCATTAAACGACCTGTCATCTTCCTAGTGAAAGAGCCCAGTTAATCACTAGTGAAGAAAGCACAGCAAATCCTACGAACAGCTCGCACTCAACTTGTGTTTCTTATTGTATGAACCAACCGTTGAGATCAGGGTTCACTTGGATTGCTGTCTTTGTAATATAGAAGATGTTCTCAATCAATTGAAAATAAATAATATTCTCCTATTTTTCTTATCTGCATTCAATCCCTAGAGTTTTGTTTCTTTTACAATCTTGATTAAACTTCACTGAATAAAGGTGTGAAGTTTAAGTATTATATTACCTTTAATACATAAAGGTGTTGCTTCAAACTTAGAAAAGGTTAATAAGATGAAGTATGAAGCGGAACACAACTCCCCGTTTTGTTGTAGCATCTGGGATCAAAAAGTTTCCACCGACTCAAGGCAAAGTGGAAGCAACCCCTTATGTTAGGCCACAGAGAATTTAATGATCCGCTATCTTTGTTCTGTGACCGAAGAACAGGATAATGTTGATTCAAAATCTAAAACTGTAATTATAAATATGAGTTGATAATATTGAGCACCCTGAGGTTTTAATTTTTAATAGATGGATTGAAAAGATCGTTAGGGTAACATATAACTCCCTGACGTGAGCCTTCGTCAATATGAGTTAATAATATTGATAACCATATGGTGTTTGCACATTCATTTGATTAAGCATAATTTGTGTATGTAGTTTACACGTCATAACATTCTGTATAAATGTATGTACATTTTCTTAATCTTATCTTCTCGCAAACTATGTGAACACATTACAGTCAGATGTGTAATCAGTTGTCTAGTCAAGCCTTTAGTACAAATGTTGAATTTTCATTGGTTGTTAAGATTTTCGCCAATTATGAAATATGGGTGAGTGGTCCAAATATAAGTGTCAAATATTTCAAATGTGGTCCTGGAAATTTGTTTTGTCTTTTCAGAAGTGGTCCTAACAAGTTGTTGAAAACTTTCCTAAAATAGCCAAACATGTGTAAGGCGATGTTTAGTGGATTGTTGAGCAAGGATTCTATATTATCTTCTTCATCCTTGCATTTATGTTTGAATATTAATATTCCTTTGGTTGTTCTCTGAAATTCTTCAGAGAGTTTATTCATTTTAGGTTAGGTTCATTTTATTTTTTTGATGCTCAAAGTACTTATCTTAACTTTCTTATTTGAGTGTTGTTGGAACATGATTCTATTGATGAAAACTTCTAGGGATTTCAAGTTATGGAGCTGAAGGTTGTCTTTGGCATTTGAAGTTTGAGTGGAGCTCGAGCTATTCAAGAGGTTTTTCTTGGATTCAAGCAAGCTGTGACAAAACATTGGATCAATTAAAGGCTGGAGTTAAGAGTGTTATGAAACAGGGAGTGTTTTACATTTGTTTTGCTTAACTTCGACTTTGTAATGAATTTTGAATATTTGCTATAATGGATTTGCTTCGTTTGAACAATCCCATAGATGTAGGTAATTTGTCGAACCATGTAAAAACCTCTTATGTGCTTTACTTTATGTCCTTAATGATTGGTAATATATTGATGATGAATGATCATTCCCACAAGCACAAATGAACTCAATCAACTTATTTCACATATGTTTAAATGAACTTAGGTAGTCTTAAACTTTCAAATTGAGAGAGAACAAGAAAATTGCATGAAATAAGCACATGGCATCAATCACCTTTCAGAAATTCAAATTTGTATTTATAAATGTATAATGTCAACCATAAAATTTTATGATTATGCAATTGGTGATGTTCAATATATTAATTAATTATATGATTCATTTTGTATAAGATAAGTCCTAATAATTTGGGACTCATCTTGTATGGTATTATAAGACAGCTCATCTGTTATTAATCAAAGATTAGTATACATGTCACATGCATTACTTATATAAATAAATTTAAACTGTGAATTACCATAAATTGTTTACTATATATTTAAACAAGACATAAACTCAATGCGATTACTTGTTTAATTGTCATTTGCAAACAAGTCAATAGTTCATACTACGTGCTATACATCGAATATTAAATATTTTATTAACTATTAATTGTTGAATGCCATGTGACAATATATTGTAAAGCACATGGCATTTTCACAAGTCAACCGTCACAATTCGTACCTTTTAAATTGAATCACACTGAGTTTCACATTATCATTTTATTGGTCCTCAAATCTCAATAATTTCTAAGGATCACGGAGGATCGGAATCCTCGTTTGTAACAAGAACTCCACGTGATTGATTGCTCTACAATTTATTAATTATTTCATACTATGTTTTAATATTAATTAACTTATTATTCAATTTATGTAACAACACTTATCTTATCATTAATCAACAACATCTGTAGGGCGGATCCCAGGATTGGGCCTATCCTCATATTTAAAAAATAATAATAATAATATATAGGCGTACAAAAAATTATTATTAATATATATGTCAAACTCACCTTTAGATTTAAAAAAAAAAAATGACAACTATTATAGGTTTACAAAAGACCTATTATTAATATATAGATTTCAAACCTAAATCATATTAAAAATTTAAAACTCTAACCACTCTTTTTCTTCACAACTCTACCTGTTTATTATGATTTTATTACAAAATTATTTACTCTCTCATTCTCTCATTCTCTTTCTCATGCTATTTGCTCTTTTGAAGACTGAAATTATTAAAGTTTTCAATTTAGTGCTCTTTTGAAGACTGAAATTATTAAAGTTTTCAATTTAGTTAGGTGCAACAATTAGCTACGTTTTATGTTTTATCAGTTTTAAATATGTGTATTGCTTATTTCAATTTAATTTATTTTAAGGTTAAATTATGCTTTTTTTTTTTTTTTTTTTTTCTTTGGTTTTATATTCTAATTCAGGAGAAAAAGACATAAGTATTATGAATTTATTTTGTATTTTGTGTGATGCTGAGGTATGTTGGCCAACATTATTGCTTTAAACTAAGTAAAAGTACAGTGAGAAAATCCTCTATATCAAAAAGACTTCAAACTCCATAGAGAATCCCCAAGCACTTGAGAAAATCTAAAACTAAGGAAAGGACCAACCTGTGCTCCGGCTGAGATGAGACCTTTTCGAAGGTGGCAACGAATCATCACTACTTGACCGTCCCCATATATCGTTTCTGCGTTTTCCTGTTGCTCTTAATTCAGGTGTTTTTGGCTCAACTTTTTTGTGGTTCACATTTGTTAGCTGATTTCACTTCAGGGGATATCGGCTGCTGAGCTATTTTTCTTCCATCTTCTTCTTCATTAGAAGGAGAAACTTCCTTTAAACGAGTAACTACATTGCTCAAATCCTTCAATGCAGAATCAATAACTGCTTTAAGCTTCTTAATTTCCTCATTTCTCCGAGCCAGTTGATCCCTCAGTCTATTTCTTTCCGCCACTACTTGCTCATGCTCTGTTAAATATAACAATTTTACTTAAAACTAAAACCTTTTTATTCCAATTAAAAAAAAGCCATGATTTACTAAAGATTTCCCTGAGAAAAAGCATCCTCCATTTTGATAACTGAATTGAAGAGCAAAATTCAAGTTTTAATCCAACTGAACAAAATTTTCACTAATTCTAAATGAAAAGCAGTTCAGCAAATGTTCCAATTGCGATTCTGACCTTCAATGCCGGCGTCTTGAGCCTCGAACAGTGTTTCCTGACCGTGACGGAGACTGAAGCTCGAAGTCGGTGTCGGACTCAATGAACGACATCGGCGAGTGGGTCTGAGATTTTCTCGCTTGAACGCCGTCGATCTGCGGAGAGCAGGGGTCGAAGAAGAGGGTGTGCGAAGAGCGGTGGAGAAGTTGACGGCGTTGGTCATGGAAGCAGAGGATGAAAGCTCAAATGTAGACCTGAAGAGATATTGTTGTGATCATGTGTAGTCCGATTTGGAGAGTCAAAAGTTTAATGAGTCGGTCAGAATGTTTCCATATTTGTACGGTGGAAGAAGAATGTTGAGTGTTGACAAGTGAAGAAGACAAGCATAGCATCTGAGTCAAAAGTTACATTAATATTTTGTTGTTATGGAAACGGAGATAGAAAAAAAAAAATATTCTTTTGGGGCAAGTTTCAGTGGTACAGATGATAATAACTGAAACGAAGTAGGTAATCATAAGTCGTTCCTTTTCTTTGTGAATAGCTACCTGTGTAGTTCTTGGTCTGGTTTCAACAGAAAGAGAGCTGCTCACGGGGAAGTTTAAAAAGAACATTTGAAGTTTACATTTAATTAAAGGCTATCAGTTTTGAATATGAACTAAATAGCTATATTATTGATTAAGGGTAATTAGTGCTAATTAGGATAATGTATCTTTTCAAAAATTTCTAATTTCCATAAATCCGAAATTGTTACAAATAACCCCAAAACCTTCTTCTTCCTCCCTCCATTAACGCATCTCTACCTGCACTTCTTCTCTTCTTCTTGGCGTCGTCACCATCTTCTTCTTCCTCTGCATCTTCTTCTTCTTCCTCCTTCCTGTCATCTTCTTCTTCCTCATTCCTCTACATCTTCTTCTCGCATCTCTACCGCCATTAACACTTCTTCTTCTCCTCCCACCATTACCATCTTCTCCGTCAAAGATCCCCTCCTCCTCCTCCTGACATTTCGCCTAAGTATGTGTATCTCCTTTTTACATTTTATATTTAATTTACAAAGTTTAATTGATGGGTTTTTTGGTGTATGATTTTGATTTAGTTGTTTAGGTTGTTGGGTGTGTTTGATGGATGTAGGTTGAAAGGAGTGAATTTGTTGAATTAGTTTCTTTATTTATTTTCTGGGTATGATGGATCGATTGTAGGTGGAGATGACTGAAAATGTTTCGGGCACGATGGATCGCTAAGCGATCCGGTTATCGCTTAAGCGATCCGTAGGTCTGGTAATCGCAGATAGACGCTTAAGCGATCAGGTATTTGGCATAAGATCGCTTAAGCCTCTGGTTAAGTCTGTTGTATTGGACGCGATCGCTTACCGCGATCATAAATGCATAAGATCGCTTAAGCGATCAAGGTATTTATACTTAATCGCTTAAGCATCAGGTGTATCGCTTAAGCGATCCTATAAATAACCATATCGTTCAAGCGATACATCAGACCAAATATGCGAATGTGCAGATTCTTTTTTAAACTATTGAACCCTTAGTACAGCATTAAGAATATTGTTTTTTCTGCATTACAGTATTGGCATATTATACATGAGAAAAATTGTTTTGGGTGTTGAATATTTGGGTGAGTGGGTGGGAAAGAAAGTAGTGGATTGGATTGGGAAGAGCAAAAGTTACACCAATTGCTGTGAGCACAGAGTTAGTTTTGATGAGTTGATTGAATGAAATATTAAAGAGTAATTTGAGTTGGCTCGCGTAGTGATATAGTTGTGAGGTATGTTTTAAGCAGAGCTCCTGAAAATTATAAGGTACCTCCTGCTTATCAAGTCGGATGAAAGTGTGAACTTATTTATGATGGATATGGCCGATAGTGGTTCGGGCCGATTTTAAGGGTTTCTTATGTAGAAAAACCGTTGGAAGTTGGTTCCAAGAAGGGGATACACGAGGATGTAGGCGGATATTTGCCTGGTTGTAATTTGAACTACGAGGCCATTGATTTGTTACTGAAAATCCAAGAGTAGACGTCAATGGGTGTGAGATGACACTATAGAAAAGGTTGGTGATGGGGGCAGAATGAAAATGTTGAGGAGGAGACCCCGTAGATGTTCCCACAGATGTAGAGATTCCTTTAAATACCAGATTATCAGAAGGCGTATTGTGAGGAAGAGACACTATGGTCGTTTATGCAAGTTCAAAGGGGGCAATTGGAGGTAGTAGTGGATCAGCTCATGTCTTTAACGGATGGATCGGACTGGCGCATAGGGTATTTATTTGACACAAAGGAGGAAGTGTGAGGAAGCTAAAACTTTTTGCTGTGAAAGTGTATTTTGAGTTCATCACCAAAAAGTCAAATTCATTGGCTTGGACTTTGCATGTCGTGACCGAAACTGCAAGTGGCGGGTTTATTGTAGAAGGTTGGCGAGTCGGAAAAGTTTATTCTTACACATATCCCGGACCCACATGTGGTTTGGGACATATTTCAGGTGAGCATCGACAAGCGTCCGCTGATGTTTGGACAATTTGTCAAAAGTCGGTTCGTCGAAGGAAAGGTCCATCTCCTAAAGACATTCAGAGACTTGTGCGCACGAGTTGGATGTGTTGTTAGTTCTGGAAATCTGGAAAGGTAGACAACATGCACAAGATTTTGTGAGGGGCACGCCGGAGGCACGGGTACCGATTATGAACGTACCGTTTATATGCTTGAGTTGACAAACCAAGTAGCAGACGGCTTTGAGTGGGACAGAATATGATGTTTAAATTATTTTTTGTTGCTTATGGTGCTGCTATAAGGGGTTTTGTAAACATGAGAAAGGTGTTGGCGTTGATGGTGCTTTCTAACGGGAAGTATGGAGGTACATTTGTTGTGGCCACTGCACAGGACAGCGAGAATCACACATATCCTGTTGCATGGGGTGTGGTGGACTCTGAGAATGACGAGTCGTGCTTGGTTTTTTCAGCAGTTACGTACGATAGTGCCTGACAGTCGAGTTTGTGCATAATATCCGATAGCACAACTCTATAAAGAGGGGGATTGCCACTATTACCGCAGCACATCACGGATTCTGTATGAGGCACCTTGGTGAGAACATAAACAAAAGTTTAAGTGTGCTGCCTCCTTCAGACATCTACATGGCAGCAAAAGCTCCGGGTTGATGAGTTCGAGGAACACTTCCAGCAAATCCGAATCAGAATGTTAGAGTGTTCTAAGTATCTTGAGCATGATGTTGGTTCGAGAGATGGAAGTAGAGCTTACTTTCCTTGGAAGAAGTGTTGATGTCAGTGACCACGAACATAGCTGAGTCCATAAATTCGAAGTGTTAATAGAAAGAAGTTTCCAATAGTTGCACTTTTTGATGCAATCCAAAGACACTGTCGCGGGTTCCATGAGCGTCGTATGGGTCGATATTTTACTACAACCTTTTCCGCAGCTGAAAAATATTGCGAAACATATGGAACTGTCAAATGCACTGTTTCCTATCCTCTTAATGCTCAAGAGTTTACTGTGCGTGGCTATGGTCCGATGCCCTAGTTACCTTGTTACAAAAACTTGCAGCTGTAGAGGCTTGACATTCACATTTACCTTGTCCTCATGCACTAGCAGCACTGAAACACCAACGGAAGCCGGATTTTGGTTCAAGATTTACATGAACTTTGCTCCCCTTTCTATATGACAGATCACTACATGCTAGCATATTCAGAAACGATATACTCCGGTGCCTCCAAAGAGCAGTGGTAGTGCCGCCAGAGGTGGCTGCCATTATCCTCCAGCCGCCATTGAAGAAGACGCCAAAGGAGAAAAAGGGTTAAGCGTATTCCATCAGCCTTTGAGGTTCCCCAGAAGATGAATAAGTGCTCAATTTGCAAGCAACCTGGTCACAAGAGAAGCAGTTGCCAAAGTAATTAGGGTCGATTCGAAAAGGATTGAATTATTGATGTTTTAAATTTTATTATTACCTTTAATAAAATATCCTTTATATTGTGTATCTTATTACATGGTCTAAATATTTGTTGGTGATTTTAGTTTGGAATTAGGCTGTCAAATTGAGAAAAGTATGGAATTAATACTTGTTGGTAATTTTAGTTTGTCAAAATTCAGGAGAAAAGATGCAAATGTATATATTGCCCACCATCGCTTAAGCGACTATTGTATCGCTTAAGCGACAAAGTGTTTTCGCAGATGGATCGCTAACGTAAGGATCGCTTAAGCGTCCTCACCTGAGTGATTGATTCTGCCCAGGTGCATGATCGCTTAAGAGATCCCCGATCGCTTAATCGACCAGGGGAAAAAGGCATATTCGCTTAAGCGATAATCACTGATCGCTTAAGCGATCATGACCTGGGCAGAATCTGCTTCTGCCATCACATGATCGGTTACCGATCCATTGTATCGCTAACCGATTCTTCTGCAATGGTTTTAAAATTTAACAGATACACCCCCACCTACCCACGGCCACCAGAGCCAATCTGACCGGGGAAGGGCGTTTCGATGCACAGTGGTCGGATCTGGCCGATAGGGCCTCTATAATGGCATTTTCCGGCCAGATCGACCACGGATGTGCCGAAAAAGGGCCCACGATCCTCAGAACTCCGTAGAGGAACGGAAAAATCCAGAGGTTGCCGTCTGTGACAGCCAAATATATGCCGTCTTTGTCGGTCAACCGGCCAAATGTTGCCGTCGTTGACCGTCAAAGTCGGACATTTCATTGAAGTCCATGACGGGAAGATGTGGCCTTTTCCGGCCACTCGACGGTGGATATGGCCGGAAAAGGTCACAACTGACCATTACCGCCATTTCCGGTCATTCGTTGCTGTCGGCGGTAGCCAGAATCGGGAAGTTGGGTGGGTGGGGGTGTTTTTGTTAATTTTTGAACCTTTTCTTGGTATATGAATTAATTCATTAATGGGTCGAAATTAATTAAAATATACTGATATTTCCTAAATAATTATATGTTGAATAAATGTAATAACGGAACAAGTGCTCTGAACGAATCGTAAACCTTTAAGCGATCTTTTTGACGTGTAAAGGAACTATATGTTTGAATAATGTATAACGGAACAAGTGCTCTGAACGAATCGTAAACCTTTAAGCGATCTTTTTGACGTGTAGAACTATTGTTTGATATAAATGTAATAACGAACAAGTGCTCTGAACGAATCGTAATCCTTTAAGCGATCTTTTTGACGTGTAAAGAACTATATGTTTGATATAAATGTAATAACGGAACAATGCTCTGAA